CCATTTCTAAAACTTGCTACTCATAAATGGAACCCAGAGGCACAGAACAATGAGGAACTAACAAAAGGCAATACAAGTAAGGAACAGAGTGAAGTTATGCAACCCTGGCTTCCTTCTATGCCTTCTGTTCATTTACAACAGGCTTTTTATTCCAATATTGAAGTAGCTGGGGATTATTCTCTGGTCAAGATTTGGTGTGGATGTTCTCATTCCCAATTTGTAAAGCTCACTTCTGATGGAGAAGTTTAGCTGCCACAGATGTTTAAACACAGCAGCACAAGAGCACTATTACAACAGATAGAACAAACTGAATCAGGAGGCTTATTGCCACAAAGCAGAAGGAAAGGACAATATCTGTTTAGATGGAAGAAACTAAAGCAGCATGAACGTGAGCCTTCTTCCATCCAGACCCCCCTGTGGCTGTGGTACCAATGAGAGGAGCTCCAGGGGTCACAGCATCTCAAGACACAAAACTCTCCAGCTCCCCTTCCCAACTCAGGTGTGAATTAAGCTGGTTTCCAATCACTGCACGCTAGCAGCAATGACTGCATTTGTGAATGGCTTCCTACTTCGTTAAGCAGCCACAAATAAGAAGACATGCACATCTTCCTCTTATGATGAGGAAGTACAGCACCTGGTTGAATTTTCACTAAGCCATTAAACTGCTGAATGCTCTCCATCCATGTTTGTTTAGAGATACAAACTCCAGGTGAGGGCTGTAGCTGTGCCCTTTCACACCACTCAGAAAAAGGAGAACAGCCTCAAACCAACCCACTTTTTCCAGAACAAAGTGCAAGAATGCTTCCATCACAAGCAAGGAGTTCAGCTCATGCCTGTGGGTGTGGAGGGTGCAGGGGAGAGAAGTATCAGTGTGAGTCACAGCTGGGGTGTCTCCATCACTTGGAACTTTGATGGAGTTCTGTCACTGTACCTCAGTTACTGCTGGAGACTTACAGGGACCACATGCACTGTGCTTTCACATTTGAGCACAGCACTGTATGCCCTTAGAAGTCAATGAGAAAAAGTTCCTGCTGCAACTTTGTGAAAAAAAAGCCTGAAAAACACAACTGAGCTATTATTTGTTAGTACCTCGTTCATATTTACCCTATTTCATTAAAAAACCAACCCACACCAGGACCTCACGTCACTCAGAGGGCAAGTCATTCTGTAGCAATTATCATGTGGCTGTAAAGACTTTAATTACATCTTATTCTCATAGCACTAGAAAGCATTGTATTAATGCAAATGGAAATTACTTTGTACCTAGGAGCCAATATGTAAGGTTGGTGCATTTCATTTCAGTAATCAAATGCAATTTCCTTTGCCTTCTAATCAGATAGGAAAAAAAAAGTTTGAAGACTAAATACATGCAAAAACATTATGCAGTATCATCATTATCTGAAGGGGAGCTAAGAAGTAACCTCCACCCTTCAAAGTAGTCTGTTTAAGATCTTCACCTTACAAGGACTGACCCATAATTAAATGAAACCCTGCACTGTACATAAGCCAGAAGAAACCAAGAGCAAATCTCGAGGCATTCTGAATCTGAAGGCCAGAAGGCACTTCACACAGCAAGAAATTCATCTTCGTAACTTTCAAGCACTTGGCATTTATTCGTGGAAGAAAAATTAAGAAACCAACTGGTAAATAGATTGGTGACAGAACAAGAAATCCTGATTCACAAATCTGTTCTTCCCTTCTTGTGCATTGAAGGCTTATAAGCACTTCAGAACAGCAAACACAAAGCTATTGTTTCGCTTTACACAAAGCGATTTTACTTCAGAATAACCAGAGGCACAGGAAGGAACCTCAGCTGCCACTCTGCCGTACCTGTAAGGCGGCCTTCGTTTCTCCCCCGCATACTGAAACAGATCATCAGTGAAGAACTTGGGTACTTTGTAGTCCTCCAGGAGTTTCCTGCGCTTGGGATGCTCTCCATAACTGCTGTCAAATATGTACAGCGGGCTGTCATCACGTGTGGTCTCCATGTACTCGATGTAGTATTTCATCTTCATCTTCACTGAATAACCGTCGTTGTCCTCCCCGCATTTGAACTTCTGGTTCCTGTACTTGCGTTTCAGCCGCTCCAGAGTCCACTTCTCCTGTGCAGACCAGCCCACCTGGGCATTCAGCAGGACCACGGGTTTGTATGGCTTCTCGTAACGCTCCACAAACTCCTCCACGGTGAGCTGCAGTGCATCCGCCCGCTCCACGTTATCCTGCGAAACCAAGAGAGGAGCACAGAGTAGCTGTTAGGACAAACGTCCCAGGTGCTCTAAAGCAGCACAGAGGCTCTCCACGCTCGGGCTCTGCTCCGCACACCGTGAGGCTGTCAGACCGCCTGCGCCTTATTTTAAGCTCCCTGAGGGTGCAGCCCTAATTCTGGCGCCCAGCTCTCAGCGGTCACCCCGCCCGGCTCGGGCCGCGTTTGGCACCATCCCCAGCACGGCGAGGACACCCCTGTCCGCCCGGCTGCCGCCCAGCCTCGGCTCCGCACAGACCCTCCCCACACCCCTCCATCCATCCCTCAGCCTCACCCCGCTCCCCTCAGCTCTCCCGTTCTCCTCAGACCC